CCAAGGCCTCTGACTCTAGGAGTTGGGTCTCCCACCCCTCTTCCTCTAGCAGCAGAACTGCTGCCCATCACCCACCTCTGTTCTTCTAGGGCTTTTTCCAGGCCTCAAAGAGGGGAGTCCCTCTGCCCTCCCTCCAGGGACTTGCCCATACCATGGTGGAACTATAATTGGTCCCCTTTCAATGGGCAGCCTGGTCATGATTGCTTGCCCAGGGCCCAGGTTTGTGATCTCCTGCCCCTGCCCCTCAGGAGAGGTGAAGTGCTGAAGCACCCAACCCCTGGGGGGCATGGCCCAGGTCCCCACAGAGAATGGTTCACATTGCCCCATCTTATTTCTCTGGATTCTCTTGGAGGGAGAAAAATGTAAGAAATGTGCTAAGAGACAAGGTTCATGCTTGTTCAGCTGGGCAGCCATGTGCATGTTTGTGATTCTCAGCTAAGAAAAAGCAGAAAGTACACTGCGAACTACCAAACCCACAAGACCCCTGAGCCCAGACCTGGAATCCTCACCAGAGCTGTGATAGTTCAGGTCACACAAAGTCCCCACACCTCCCACCCACCCTAGCCCCCACCCTACCTCTCCCAAAAGAAGGTGACTACAGTACTATTTCCCAAATTAAATATCAGGCATATGGTTTGACCAGGGGTCTTTCAGATGCATGAATTTATTTATATGAAAACTCTTACAGAGACAAGTTCGATCACATTTACATATCTAGTTCAAGAATCACCTATATTCAAAAGAAAAAAGATATTTGAAACTGGGACTGACTTCAAGTCTAGAAGAGGGGATAAGGGTTGTTACCATGCCATACCCACCGGCTGAATGAAGAGTGAGCACAGGCGTGGGACATCAGCTGTGTCTGGAATCTTACCTGGGGTACTCCAGGAAAACTATGCCAGTTTCCAGCTGAGTTCATTCTCAAAGTTGACAGCATCAAACTGACATCTGAAACTTCAAAGTCATGCCACGGCAGCAGTACAGAGGAGCTGGTTTGGAAGGGAAGCTAGGTTTCACATACAGTGTGGCCTTGAAAAGGTGAGAGGAGAGAGAGCAAAGCTGGACAGCGAGTGACCCCAGAGATGCAGCTGATCCAAACCTACCCAGAGGGATGGACACATCAGGATACTAAGCCTGAGCACTGATGTGAACACAATACCTCTCCCTGTAACCCAGAGGTCATGCTGGTCCATACTGAAATGGGTTTTGTGCCTGAAAATATTTCTAGGCAAAAATGGCACTTGCAGCCAGTGGGGTGTCCCAACCCCAAAGGGCCCCATTCCTTTGCAGGGATGGGGGGCGGATAGGCAGCCTCCCTTCCACCCAGCGGCAACTCCAGCTTCCCCTTCAGCTTTTGGGGGACACGAGCTCACAGCAAGAACACAAAAAGTTGCTCTGAATACCCACTTGGCTCTGCTAAGCACCCTGTGGCAAGGCTCTGAGCTACCTTTTCTTTCTCTCGCCATTGCTAACATAAACCTATTAGGATCATAATGATTTTCTAAGCAGTTCACCTGTTTGCTATTGTCACTGCAGCTCAACATACCCCTACATGTATGCTGTTAGTGGGGACACATGTATCAGTTTAGAACTATTAAAGGACCAATATGCCACAGCTAATCCTAATAAACCAGATGTTTTCTGAATGGTGTTTTCTGTCTTTCTGTCTACATCCGAGACTACAACAGTCCCTACAGAGAGCAGCATTGAGAGTCTGAGCTGAGCCAGTCATCTGATACAAGCATGGGTATGTGGACTTACTTTCTGCCCTCCACACTTGGGGACTTTTACCTCAGAAGCAGATTGTGCATGCATTCTGTTATATTGCAGACTCGGCCACCCTGCATACCAGAGGAGCTGGGCTGCCTCTAGTCCTGGTCTAACCACTTCCTCACAGAGCCACATGGATGCCTGACTTGTCCAGAAACAAGCTCTGATCTTCACCACCACACTGGCTCCACCTAGGCCTCATTCATCTCAGCACAGGGCACCCCAGCTCTACTGCTCAGGAAAAGCTCTGAATAACATCCTCCATTCCTCTCAGCCCCACACTTGCACCTGACCCAACAGTAAATCTTGTCACCTCTGTCTTTATTCCCTCTGGCCCCAGAGGTGGCCACTCCACCTTTGCCCTTTCTCCCACGTCCACTGTCCCCAACATGACAGTCTCCCTGCTGGCCACCTTGTTGATGAAGCCTTTTTTGACTACCCTGTCTAAAGTGGCTCAGTGGTTACAGCATTGGCTCATGCACCAAAGGGTTATGGGTTCTATTGCTGGTTAGGGGCACAAACCTGGGTTGCAGGTTCCATCCTTAGCCCCAGTCAGGATCATGCAGGAGGCAACCAATCAATGTATCTCTCTTACATTGATTTTTCTCTATCTTGCTCCCTCCCTCCTTCCCTCCCTCCCTCTCACTCTATCTAAAAAAAAAAAAATCAATGGAAAAAATATCTTCATCTAGGAATATATCCTAAGAAGCCTGAAACACCCATCAGAAAGAATATATGCACCCCTATGTTCATAGCAGCACTATTTACAATAGCTAAGATCTGGAAATAGCCCAAGTGTCCATCAGTAGATGAGAGGATAAAAAAGCTGTGGTACATGATCTCACTTATTTGTGGAATATTTTGAACATAACAGTCTGAGGAATAGGGTAGACCGAGAAACATGGAAGTAGGGTACAGACTGACAACCTCAGAAGAGGGGGAGGTGGGGGGAGGGAAGAGATAAACCACAGAACTTATATGCATGTACGCATAACCAATGGACATGGACAATGAAGCCAGGGACGGGGTGGGGCGGATGGGGAGGAGGGTGTCAATGGGGTAAAAAAGGAGAAACCTCTGTAACAAAAATAAAATTAAAAATAAAAAAAATAGAAAAAATAAAGCTGTGGTACATGTACACAATGGAATACTATGTAGCTATAAGAAAGAAAAACCTCTTATCCTTTGAGATGACATGGAAGGACCTGGAGAGTATTATGCTAAGCAAAATAAGCCAATCAGAGAAAGACAAATATCACATGATCTCACTTATTTGTGGAATATAATGAACAAAATAAGCTGATAAAATAGACCCAGAGAAGAAATGCTCATCATCACTAATCATCAGAGAGATGCAAATCAAAACAACAATGAGGTATCACCTCACACCTGTCAGAATGGCCGCCATCAACAAATCCTCAAACAACAAGTGTTGGCGAGGGTGTGGAGAAAAGGGACTCTAGTACACTGCTGGTGGAATGCAGACTGGTGCAGCCACTATGGAAAACAATATGGTGTCACCTCAAAAAATTAAAAATTGATCTTCCATTTGACCCAGTAATCCCACTTCTAGGAATATACCCTAAGAAGCATAAAACACCAATCAGAAAGAATATATGTACCCCCATCTTTGTAGCAGCACTATTTACAATCGCTAAGATCTGGAAACAGCCCAAGTGCCCATCAGTAGATGAATGGATCAAAAAGCTGTGGTACATATACACAATGGAGTACTACGCAGTGGTAAGAAAGAAAGATCTCTTATCCTTTGAGGCTACATGGAGGGACCTTGAAAGTATCATCCTAAGTGAAACAAGCCAGAGAAAGACAAATTTCATATGATCTCACTTATTTGTGGAATATAATGAACATAACAGTTTGAGGAATGGGGTAGTCCCAGAGACACGGAAGTGGGGTACAGA